AACCGTGAATCAAAAATATTTGGGAAAAAAGAGTTAGGTTGTTGCTTATGTGTACTATGTAGTTAATCCTATGATGGCTGAGTCTCTACTGAACATGTACAGGCTTTTTTTTTCTTATCATTATTCCCTAAATAATATAACAACTATTTACATAGCATTTACATTAGGTATTATAAATAGAGATGATTTAAAGTATACACGATGTGCGTAAGCCATTTTATATAAGGGACTTGAGCATCCGTGGATTATGGTATGGGGGGAGTGTCCTGGAACAAATCCCCCATGGATACCAGAGAGGCGACTGTAATTCCACAAGTGTTTCCAAAATGCTCTAGCCAAGAGGCAATGTCCAAAAGATTCTAGCAAGAGTTGCTGCACAGCCTTCCAAGTCATCACTTTGAAGGCCAATACTCACCTTAATGTAAAAATTTTGTTTCCTTTTGGGACGGGCAGGGGGGTGAGGAAAAGGTGGGAGACCTATTATCTTATGATTACACAGTGTAATAAATTTGAAACGTAGTTTTTGGGATCAGAAATCAAAAGACTTAAGAAATGTCCCCAAATTTCGATCTGGATGCCTGGGATCCTCCTGGGATCTCCCTGGGACCCTTACCTGAGGGCCGTGGGGGCGAAGGAAGGTGGCTGGCCTAATACAATGATAACAATAATTAACCCTTTTATCATGAATCTAATTTCACCAACTCCCTGATCTACACAATAAACAAATATCATCAATGACGTCACAGAACAGAACAGAATCGTTTTCTTTCTTAACAAATGGCCCAAGGGTCACTTGGCCTAGAGAGGGGGGATCAGAGGCAATAGGATGAGGGTCTCTGAGAGGGCACTCCCACAGGGCAATGAGAACTGCTCAGCCAGACGGCGGAAAATCTGGCGCCAGTCAGTGCAGCCCTCTTGGAGCTGAGGAGAGGGGCGCTTACGCTGCACCTCCCGATTAGGACCCACTGTCAGGCACAGAAGAGGTGAAAAAGTGAAGATGAGGGCAGCGGGCTCTCAGAGGCGGGCATCCGCGGGCCAGCTCTCTCGAGTGTGCCGGGTGCGGAGTCTGGGCTTAGCGAGGAGATGCCAGAATCCTCGAGGACAGGGCGTTGGAGATGTGCGCTGCCCCGGCGGTTGGGGGACAGAGGGCCCAAGCCCTATCCGAGAGAAAGCCGGAGATCGCATATGGGGGCACGTCTCTTTTGGGTGTGGCGGCGGAGGGGTGGCTTTGAGGCCTGGAGCAGGCTTTACCAGAACAGCCCACCCCTCCCGCCCGTTAGAACCTGAGATTCTCTTTCGCCTCGGCGCGGTTCCGGTCGCTGCTGTGGGTGCCTTTCGGCTGCTCGACCATGCCCAGTCTCAGTGGGTCGGGTCTGCAGAATTTGGACTCGACCTCATCCAAGAGCTCATCCAGATCCTTCGCCATCTTGAATCCTCCAGTCTTCCTCCAGCTCATTTAGCCGCAGCGCCGATGGTTTCTACGGGCAACGCGAGGACCTGCCTTGCGCCCTTTCCGGGGCCCACTGCGGGCCTCGCGCATGCGCGCGCCGCCTTGCTGGCCGATCAGAGGCGCTTGCAAGGCCACGGTGTCAACGCCGCTGTCGCGCAAAAGGACGCAGGGGTCCGCGAGCTCTCGGCAGCGCTAGCTTCTCCGGAGGCTGTGGATTGGAGCTGTCTGTTCCTACGTGATGTCGAGATGCTTCGCCTCTCTTTGTTGTTGCTTGTCTGCGTGTTTTGTCCTGTCTCCCTCTCCTGGATCTAAGTTGTAAACAGTCCCACAGTTCCCATATTCCCTCTTCTGCTCCGCTTCCGGCCCTCTCGGTGTCCTGTTGTGTTTCTACTACTCATGAATTCCTTAAATAATCTGCAGAAAAGCGGGGAAGAACTCTCGGAAACAAAAACAGGTGCCAATGTCATATATCAAAACTTCATTTTCTCGTAGTCGGCAGGATTCGAACCTGCGCGGGGAGACCCCAATGGATTTCTAGTCCATCGCCTTAACCACTCGGCCACGACTACTTCTGGTAATGTTTTTGGCAGTGATAATCTATGTACACTCTACGTAAGTACATTTGGAGTCTGGAAAAAAACATTACAAAGCTGTTCTGTCTGATAAGAGCAGATTTGAACTTTATAGCTCTAATAGTTTTAGCTTTTTAGGACACAGTGCATATCTCGTCCACTCTTTTCTTTTTCAGTAGAGAAAATGAAGTTCCAGTCGCATTTCCAAACTTTGAAAACCGGAGAGAAAGGAAGGAAAACTCCGATACTACTTTACACCCACTTGTACACTGACTGAACCATTCCAGAAGGGAACTGGGAACCGTGAGGCTACGGTCTTCTCGCTTGGCTCCCAGCTCCACCCCTCAGTCTGTTTGAGAAACAGCTCCCGGGACTCCCTTTTCACCCACTAGGCACTAAATTGCTAATACCTACCGATTTAAATTCACTATGTAGGGTCAGACTGTCCGACCATGCCATAAAGGCACTACTTTTGAAAGTGCAAATGAAAGATCTTGTCATTACTAGTATTCCTTAAGTACTCTCCACCGAGTAACCTGTACTTTGAGTATTTCTAAAATAGGGTAGCAAAGAGGTTGACACCCTTAGAAACTCAGAAGATAGTTTGATCCTGATGATTTAGTATCTTTGTTTGACTTGTAATATGTTCAAAATATCTTAATGTCCCTGAAGAGCAGCGTGCAGTGGTGTGCTGGAGCTGTTGGTACCTGCTCACTAGAGCCCACCTTTAAATTTTTGTCTATCATGTAAGCCGTTGTTAAACACAACCATTATTAACAATTAAATTATATAAACTGACAATTGAATTAAAAACAAAGGTAATACTCAAAAATCATCACATCCTAGTTGTTTCACTACATTTTACTGTAATTTATGCTATTTAGGTTACTTACATCTATTGTATTTGTATGGTGGAAATACTATATATGGTGTGCGATTGCATATCTCTTTTTAATTTCCCATTCAACAATGTCACTTGAGTACCTTGAATCCACCACAGTGGGTGTTATTTAAACCAGGGAGATTGACAAATAGTACAAATCATAGCTTTTTCTTGCTAAGAATTGACTGTTAAACCTTAACCAGCATACCACTAAATGTTACCATCAGAACAACTTTGAATATTCCCAGCAAGGCAACTTGGGAAAAAATGAAAACCAACTTAAAACAACTGATGAGCAGGAAATCATACAACATAGCAGAATTCTAATGGCTAAAACAAAGCTGCAGGTAGTGAGAAAATAACCAAAGCAGCCCTACAAGTGGATGGAGGGAGGAGTCAGGAAGGCCTTCTTGCATTTCTTGACCTTTCCCCATTAGGGATTTGTTTTTTCCAGAAAAGCATTGCCTTCTGTTGAAATGTAGTAATACATTTTTGCTGTCATGATTATACCTTAGCAGAGATTGGTTTGTAAATCTGCTAGTGGGTGCCTAAAAAGCAGAGAATGTAGACTTGAAGGAATATTACATCAGTACGATAAGTTTTGGTGGGTGAAGAGAGGAGGGGAAGGTAGCTTCTGAACTAGTGGATCATCACAGTGGGGAACCTGGGATCAAGAATAATCTGGTTCTAGGTGCCTTTGTGAGGAGGAGAAACCAGGAGGGAGCCAAGTATTTCAGTATTTCAAATACTGAAAAAGGAGGAGCTAGAATTCTGAAGACCAACTTCTGTGGTTTTCACTATTATTTCAGGTTGGCCTTGGGGCTGACCTTGGGGAAGGGGAGTTAGTTTAAACCAACCAGAGCTGGGGCATAGGTCTGTTCTCCTTTGAAGAGTTCCTTTGAGGATCCTACCATTACTGTTCAGGATCTGTTGGCTTGCATTTTACAACTTGTATCCTTCCTCAACTTCCTATTTAATTAAAAAAATATTTCCCCTATATTGTGTGCATTTTGTTGGCTACTTCAAATCCTTTTTTTGGGGAATAAGACAGCATATAAATAAATAATGACATATATTTAAACTTCTTCATCTCTCTTATGTGTACATCATCTTCTAGTTCTGGGTCCTTTGAGGCAGTTGGAGTTTCCATTCAGCAGACCTGATGATTGGGTTCAATTTAGGTTCCTCAAAGCCCCATCCTCCCCACTGCCCTGGGCATGTTCAATAACCACCTAAAGTCTGACTTCACCATCAACCTTGTTTTCCTCCTTAGGGTTCCCAAGATTGGGAGTGACCTGGGGCTGGCTTCAGACTCCACAGAAGAGCTTCTGGTTGGGGGTAGTGGTGACTGGAGGTGGTTATGGTCAACCAGAGTCTAGTGAGTGTACATGAAACTGGCTTCCAGCAGAAAAACAGGAAAAAGCCATATTTAACTTCCTGCAGTTGATAATTGAAGCCGCCCTTGCATCGTGGTTTCAGGGAAGTAATGCCTAGCTGCTATCCAGTTTGACAGGCTTAAGTTAATGTTTTAATTCTTCTCTAGAAAAGATGAAATCTGAGGTGGTATGTACCCGTAGTTGAAAGAATCCATTAGCATGTAAAAGATTTGCAGGAAACACCGTGAAAAGAGAAAACGTTTCTGGTTGTGTTTTGTTTGAAGAACATCAGAAAAAAATTAGAGTTTGTTCCCTCCTTCCTCACTTCCACTCCCATTTTAATAAAATACCAGGTATAGATCATCCAGAGTTTGGCATTTTGAGAATTTCGTTTAGAGTTCATTAAATTTTCCAGTGGGTCTCCTCATTTTAGTCAAGTTCAGAGTCTATAGGAAAAATGCCACACATCACATAAGTGTGACACATATGTGTACGGCTGTGTGACAAATTGTAAAATGGTAGATAATGCACTATTAAACATCTCCAGATGTCAGTAGTGATATTAGAGTGAGCTTCAATGGACTCTAAACAATGCATCGTAAAGAACATACACATGGCTTTAGAAGATTCCTCTACATTATGCAAATTGTATTAGAGGATTTTTTAAAAAACTATGTTATATATTCCTTTGATGTTTTCCTTTTGTTTTCTAAAGTGAGAAATCTTATTTATTATCTCTATAATTGTTAATATGGAGTCCCTGGGTGACACAAATGGTTAAGTGCTCGACTGCTAGCCAAAAGGTTGGCGATTCAAACTCACCCAGAGGTGCCTTGGAAGACAGGCCTGGTGATGGCTTCTGAAAGGTCACAGCCTTGAAAACCCTACAGAGCAGTTCTGCTCTTCACATGTGGGGTCTCCATGAGTTGTAATCGACTGAACAGCAACTAACAACAACAACTTAATTGTTGATGTGTGTAGACAATGTTGTCTTTCCCAATCTGGAAAATCATGAGCTTCAGATATTTCATACAGAAGTATAGCTAAGTGCTTTCAGGTGATGCAATTATTAAATATGATCAAAGGGGCATGCTATATATTATTTCACTTACTTAGTATTCCAAGGAAGTATTTTAGGGAAAAGGTGTCCCAATTAAGAAAACAAAGCCCTGTTGGCTTTTTCAAGTAATCGAAGAACGCTCTGAGCTTGCGTTCTTGCTAGCGCCATTATAAATGAGTTAGAGGTGGTGATACAGCTGGTTCTGTTGTCCCCCACAGCTCCAGGCCAACCCCTTCAGTTACAAGGTGTTTTATAATCCTCCTGGCTATTCAAATAATGAATTGCAAGGCCTCTTTGAATTCCCACGTACTTAGGTTTAATTTTCTCGGCCCTGCTTTTCTCCCCACACATCGCAGGCCCTTCTAAATAAATACCCACTGCTGGGCAGCAACCTCGATGTGAGGGGAGGCATCCTCCTGGAGCAGTTGTGAGCCTCCCAGAGGCTGTTGCTGTGGAAGAAATGGAATAGCTCTGAGGCAGATCCAGTTCTTTTAAGTGGTCCCTGAGTTAGGCCTCGATGTCATGTAGGTAAA